ATATATATATATATATATATCAGGTCATCCCATAAGTTCTGTCCGAATTTTATCTTTTTTTTAAAGTGAACGAAATGTAAACAGTATTTTATAATGTCTAATGGAGATGAACATTATTTTTATGTTTAGATGCATTGAAACTGATCAAATTTTTTTTTCACAGAACAATAAAATTAAATTTTGCTTGATTAAAACCTTACTAACATGGAAGTACCCAAGAATCATTTGAGGCACATAATGCTTTATGAGTTCAAGAAAGGAAACTCAGCAGCTGAAGTGGCGAGAAACATTCACTCAGTTTATGGAGGAGAATGTGTGAATGAAAGAACTTGCAGAAGATGGTTTGCAAAATTCAGAGGTGGAGATTTCACCGTTGAAGGTGAAGATGGAACCGGACGTTCAGTTGAGTTTGATGAAAAGCTTCTTGAAGCAGCCCTTGAAGAAAAACCTGCTTTATCAGTTGAGGAATTGGCAGTGGTTCTCAGTTCAAACCATACAACTGTTTATCGTCATCTTCAACAACTTGGAAAAGTTCCTAAACTTGGAAAATGGGTGCCTCATGAATTGTCTGAAAACAACCTTAATTCCCGAGTTGACATCTGCTCTTCTCTCCATTCTCGCCAACTTGTTTCACCTTTTTTGGATAGACTTGTGACTGGCGACGAAAAATGGATCTTTTATCGAAATATTAAGCGTCGTAGACAGTGGCTTGGTGAAGGGGAAGGCACAGCCGACAAGGGAATTTCATGGACAAATGGTTCTTCTTTCAATCTGGTGGGATCGCCAAAGAATAATCCACTTTGAATTCTTACCACCTAATGCAAAAATTAATGCTCAAATATACTGTCAGCAGTTAGAGCGTTTGAACCAAGCTTTGAGGAAAAAAGACCTGCTCTAGTGAATCGAAAAGAGGTGATGTTTCATGAGGACAATGCGTGACCCCACACAGCAAGAATCACGTCACAAAAGATCGAAGAACTTGGTTGGGAGAAAATTCCTCATTCACTTTATTCTCCTGATCTTACTCCTTCAGACTACCATTTGTTTCGTAGGTTACAGAATCATTTGGAAGAAACAGCGTTTGTAACACTGGAAGAGGTTAAAACTGACGTTTGTGAGTTCTTCGAATCAAAGCCAAAAGAATTTTACAGTAATGGAATTAGTAAGCTTGTTAATAGATGGAAGAAAGTCATAGATAATCAGGGAAAATACATTGTTGATTGAATCTGTAATTAAATGTAACATTTGGTCACTTGTTTTCTTTATTCAAAATTCGGACATCATTACATATATATATATATATATATATATATATATAATGATGAATCCAGAATCCTTAAAAATCCATCAGGTCAGGTTATAATTTATTTCGTGGAACTCACGTCCATCTCTACAGACCAGTTTTCCATGAAGTTCAATTTATTCAGGCACAAAGAAAAGTAGAAAAAAAACAAGAAAGACGAGATAGAAAAATTAAAAAAAAAAGTTTTAATATTAAATGGAAGAAAGAAAAATGGCTGAGAAAGACGCAGATGTCAGTATAAGGTTTTTAGGTGAAGAGAAAGAGAGATAGAAATGGGGAAATGAAAGGGAAAAATAGTGAGAGAGGGAAAGAAAGGAAAGAGGGAATTAAGCTGACAAGGTGACCCAGAAAAGATTTTTTTTCTTCCGGCACTTGACAAGTTAAAATAAAGATAAAAAATAAATACATTGAAATTCTCTAGTCATTTGAAGCAGCGAAACCATCACCATCGCATTATAACCGTCACAATCACAAACTGATAATAATAATAATAATAATAATAAATGTTTGACATCAATATCAAGAATTAACAAATTTTGTAAATTTAAAGTAATTTAACTAAAAAATAACTTCTCTAAAAAATCTTTTTTTAAAAAAATCAAAAACACACACACACACACACACACACACACACACACACACACACACACACACACACATATATATATATATATATATATATATATATATATTTGCTCCCTATTTATAAGTTATAATTTAATAAGTGGTTAGCATTTATTTAATGATACTTTAAGTCTTAAATATTTATTGGTTGTGGTATCTGATTGTCTGGGTCATTGTCTGTGGATGTGTGTACGTGTATCTATCGGTGTCTATGTGTATTTAGAGTGTATTCACATTTAATTGTGTGTGTGTATAGGTGTTGGTTTCCCCGTTTTCTTTTTTCATAAAGGGTTTTAGTGATGTTCCTGTCTCGTCGCCTTTCCTCTTCTTTCCCTTTTTTTTTGTGTGTGTGTGTATATATATATCTAAATATGTCTGGGTGCTTATGTATTATAATCTGACTGTGTTTTTGTTGTTTTGCGCGTGAGTTTAAGACCACATTCACACACTTTAGAATAAATATATATATACATGTATTGTCAAATGACCGGATATATTGTAGCGTCTTGTCGAACGTAATTTCAACGAAGAAATAAATTGAATAAACATATATATTTTTTCTTTTCTCAATAATTTTGTAGTTTTTAAACTTAATAGTGAGTAAATTTGGATTTTCAAATTGCCAGTTTTTAATTTTAATATTAAATTTTATCATATAGTTTTATAATTATTGGTTAGTATAAATTATTTTTAATATTACACGTATTTTAAAGATCTGAATAGCTATTATAACATGATTTCGTTGTCAAGCTTTTGAATGTTTCTATACTTGGTTTTTGATTGGTTATTCTAGCTTTTGTAACAATGTTTCCCCCTAGCGTAGGATCGTTAATTAATCTGAAACTTTTAAAACCATTTATTTTATCTTCAACATCATCACTTGATAAGACACCGAGTGTGTTGAAACAATATGGCTATTTTGTAGTGATTTTATAACATATTTATGTTATAATTTTATTATAAATAATAATTATATATATATATATATATATATATATATATATATATATATATATATATATATATGTATGTATGTATGTATGAAAATCTTTAATTTAAAGCAGAATGCCGATAGGACAGATTATTGTGTTTTGCGAGACGACACCTTTGATATTGTACGTTTGAGAAGTCTGGTCATTGAAAACAACCTTAAAAGACCTGATTGTAAAGACTCTTCCAGAGTTTCCATTGCTGGAGTGTTTGGGCATCAAATTCTGTGTGTACGCCATGTCAAAATGCCTTTGAGTTGTCTAAAGTAATCACTCTGGAGAAGAATTTATTATCTTTGCCTCATTGATTGTGTGTGTGTGTCGTTACAGTTAGGGCGGCGACAGGGGAGATGGAAGAGCGAAATCCATACTGCTTGTCGCTCATGAAGTTGTTTCTCCTGAGGTGACCAACAACGTTCTAGTTCATTATAGCCCTAGTCAATGTATTTAAGAGAAATATTTTAAACTATTCCATTTAAGATTTCTGATTATCGGAATCGAAAAGAAAATTATCTATAAACGTCTACGTTGCTTCAGGAATATTAGTCAAAATTCTTACTTGTAGAGTGTGCAATGGGTAAATTGTTGTCAAATTATACTTTTTTTTAATTCTGCGCATGCGCATAGTTTATTTTTTGATTTTGTCGATTGCATAATATAGTAAGGTGAGTTGGGCACTGTCTGTGAGAAAAAGAGTAGTATGACGCAAAACACTCCACCAGAAATTTAGAAACGGTATGCTGTACTGTTTCGTATTCGTGCCGGAATGTACAATACGAAATTGTCATAGTGTCTGGGTGTCAATCTGAGGACAGAGCAGAGGATTCGGAAAGATTTGGATGATATATCCGGTCAGCATCATGGTGTTTGGAGTGATCACTATTAGTGGCAATGTTATGTCTCCATTTATCGTCCGACACACTCAACATAGAAGCCTACGTCAAGTGCCTTGAGGTGGTAGTAGCTGCTGGATGACCCTTTGTCTGACAACAAGACTCTGCACAGTGCCACACATGCAGAAGAACTCATGGCTGTCATACAATTTCTGCGACCATATCACCCTTAACTCTCCAGACTTCAATCCCATTGATTATTATGTGTGAAGCTCAGTTGAGCGAGAGACCAAAAATTCCTTATAAAACGAAAGATGAAATGAATGAAAGGATTATGGCAGCATTCACCATCTTAAACAAGGAGATTGTTCAAAAAACGCGTGGTTAAAGCCAATGGCGATTTTATAGAATAAATCTACTCTGTACTGATTAAAGATATGATTGTGTAATTTTTGTAAATATATCTGTTAAAATAAGATGTCGGTGTTATTTTTTATTTTTTTTATTTTTTGAGTAATTTAGACGACAATTTATCAATCGCACATGGTATCTTCAATTGTATTATTAGCAAATCCTTATTGAAATTTCAATTATATTCTTTTACATACTACCAATAGGTAATCGCAAACTGCGATGTTGTTTTTCTTCATTTGTTTTGTGAATAATATATTGTCTTTAGTTTGATGTTAAGCTTGATGAAGAATTGGCAATATTCTTAAAAAAAAATGAAAAAATTATGATCTCCGTTAAGCGGGAAACAAGGAAACATAGACTTCACACCATATTTTGATATTCTGCCAAAGAGGAGTATTTTTGTATGAGAATGCGAACATTAAAATAGAGAAACACTGAAGCGTCAAGTAATCTAAATCTTCCTTTATTCTAATCCGATTACTTTTTCTTCTTCATCTTGCTGGTCAAGAAGTCCGTTGTTGCTGTTCGTTCGATTATGAATCTTACGACCGCTAGACTGCCACAGTTCGGAACTAGTAAGTGAGATAGGGTTGGCTGGAAACGGTAATGGAACTATCAAGGAGAAAAGATATGATCATCTGGTTTCTACCCGTGTTCGTATCGCAGAAGCGTAGTTGGTATAATTGAGATATTGCCCCAACACGGCCAGTGTGACAGGACAGGGGTCATCACTCATCAGTAACGGTCAGAACTTGTCATTAGAACTGGTCCATCCATCTATCTCGTTATCGTCCACACCTTGACACTGACGGCCATTCAGAGTCGTGACAATGATGGATGGGACGGCTAAAACCTTCCCTTCCTTCCACTTGTTACCCTCCATTTGCTCGCAACCTACACGAGCCCCTCTCTAGTTTTGCTCTTATCTCTCTCTCAATCTCTGCACTCTCCTCACCCCCATCTTGTTCCTTTCTCATCATCTTTCTACGACTGTACAATATTTTAACGCTGACCAATGTCCACCACTCATTTCATTATTCTCCGTGCCATTTGCATATACTTATGCTTCTCTGTCATCGTCATGTTATTACTCTCGATTTTTTATTTCCTCAATCCCAGTTTTCTTTTCTATCTCTTTTTAATACTTTTATTTCTTCTCAGAATAACAAAAAAAGCCCTGTCTTCCACAGTTTGATTATTTTGTCTTCCTTCTATTATTCCATATTGAACTTCAATCATCCTTTTATATTTCAAGGACTAATCACAAATTCAACATTAATTCCCATACACTTTATTCCCAAAATGACTCATGTCATTCTTTCTTTTTTCATTTTCACCTGGTCTGCTTTTCCAAATGCCTGTACCTTATTCCCGAAAAAATACATTCTTCACAACGACCTATCCATTTTTGATTTTATATAATTTTCTCCGTCCTGAGTATGACGGCAAACTACATCGGACAGCAAAGCCTCTGATCAGGAGGTTTTGAGGAGTATGGAACTACTTCTTAATTGCTGGTACTGCCAGGTATAACCTGACCCAGGGTGGTAGCAACTGTTAGGGTCCCAGCTATGGGCAAATATTTAACCCGCAAACTAGGATCAAAACGTGTAAAATAGGTTTTAATACCAGCAATATATATATATATATATATATATTTTTTAATTATTACCAACCGTTACCAGCAATAAATTTTTCAAGAAAAAATATTACAAGCAATACTTCATTACCAGCAATAAGTTTTTGTAAAAAAATATTAGCAGCAATACATTTTTGAAAAAAGAAAAATCCCAGTAATACCTTTTTGTAAAAAAAAATATTTCCAGCAATAGACTTTTGAAAAAAAATTCCCAGCAATAGGATTTGTAAAAAATATTACCAGTAAAACATTTTTGAAAAAAAATTCCAAGTCATAGATTTTGGCAAAAATATTTCCAGCAATACATTTCTGAAAAAATATTACCATCAATAAAAATCGATAAAAATATAATTTTCTAATACAATAATATGGATGAAAAATTCCAAAAATTATTAAACTAACCGTGACCAATTGAAACTGTTAATGAATTGAAAACGTATAATTTATTGCTAATATCGATGAAATAATAAAACTTGCTCGTGGCTTATTTTTATATATATATATATATATATATATATATATATATATATATATATATATATATATATATATATATATATAAACTATTTTGACCTGTCCTAGCATGAAGATAAAAGCCCCCCAAACTTAATAAAAACAAAATTTTATCGTGAAATTTTATGTTTTTATTAAGATAAAAGACCAAGCTATTTTTCAATTATTTTAAAAAAAAATTCATTTGCAGCATGTTTTAAATTTAGGTTGAAAATCTTGTCTTTTTTTTAGGTCAAAAATTAGGTAATAATTAGCATTACTTGTTTTTCACTGTTTTCAGTAGAAAAAAACACATTGATTGGAAAATCTTGCAAAAATCAAGTACTTGTTGGATTTTAATGAAACCTTCAGAACTTATTCACAGATGAATGTGATTATTTTAGAAATGTTTGTCTTTTTGAAAGTCATGGTATAAATATATTTTTTATATATATATTACACCCCTCGAATTTAATTTTATGAAAACTTCAAAATTTTATTTTTTCAACCTGAATTTTTTTTTCAATTAAATGCACAAGACTCTGAAAATTCTAAATCATCGATTTTTTTTGGTAAAAAATGTGCAAAATTGTCCAAACTTTTACCTCAATTGTAAAAATACAAAACCCAATAAAACTAAGACAATATTTAATTAAAAAAGCTTTTTAATCCTTTTCTGAATAACATATACTATGGTAATTTTTATCTGAAAGAAAAAAGAAATTTTTCATGAAAAATGATTTTTTGCAATAATTTTTTCTTTTTTCTATTTTAAATACACAATATGACAAAATGTTGTTATATATTTTAAAATTAAGTTTCTTTATTCAACCTTATGGAAATGACATATTATGTTCTCTACTTTTTAAAGATCATAAATTTGAAAGCTCATTAAAATTTGACAAACGTTGATATTTTTAAAATAATTTTTTAATATTCCAAAATTGTATTTAAAATCGTCTCCAACGAAAGTATGGATGCACAGCTTTGAAATAATGTCACATGAGGTAGACTTGTTTCTCTTGATAGAAGCAAGTTCTTTTACTTCAGAAATTTCTTTGCATTCGTTCAGTTAACAACACAGCAAAGTTTGAAATCGATTGCATAGCATTTCAATGTTAATTTTATTAATAAATAAAATATGTATAAAACTCCCATGACTGCCATATCACAAGTATTAATAAATAGAAAAAAGTCTGCCTTAATAAAAAGAAATAAAATCTCATTTCATTAAGTTAACCTGTTTCAATTATGAAATTTAATGGTGTTTCATGTAATTTTTATATTCTCAGAAAAATATTTCATGACAAATAATACAACTCAATTTAAAGAAAATGTTGTTACTGTTTTATTTTTACTTGTAAAATTTGATTTTTTTTTCATAATTCAAATGTTATTTTCAGTGCAAAAATTTTTCCTCAAACGTAAGGTTAAAAAAAAAATTGAAAGTGATTTTTTTTTTAATTTACTAACCAGGTTCACTTAAAATTAGAACGAATTACATCACTTCTGTACTACCGTACGATAAATTCCCCTAACGTAAGTTGTCAATATATTGACGTACATCAATTAACGCCCCTCAAACACGCACCTAAGCAAGCACCACGGTTGGAAATATCTCTATTAAAAAAAATTTCAGCTAAAAAAGTAAGTAATGTTTGTTTAAAATTACATTAAGTATACTTTAATCATTCTAAATTTCTTAAGATAACAAAATAAAAATGTGCAACTCAATTTTACATGATATTTGTTTGATACATTTGATTTTGTTTACAAACTTGGGCAGAAATGGCCGACAAGATCGAATTTACGAAATTTTTTTGATGCAAGAAAAACAAGATATTTAAGTAACATTTTTAACATTTATAGGAAGGATTAAAAAATCTGAAAAAATATTTAGAAAATACTTTGCTCTTCCCTCTTTAATATTAACATAAACATTTACACGTTAAAAATATTTTTATCAATTTGGGGATCTTTTTCTCCAGGATATACCACTTTTAGCGTTATATGGGACAGACCTATCTATCTATCTATCTATCTATCTATCTATCTCTCTCTCTCTCTCTCTCTCTCTATATATATATATATATATATATATATATATATATATATATATAAATATACATATACATATATATATATATATATATATATATACATGCATATACATATATTAAGTTGGTGCAAAAATAATTTCGTTTTCTCACATAGTAACACATGTTAGAAAACGAAATTATTTATTACATACACCAATATATATAATATATATATACATACATATATATACATATATATATATATATATATATATATATATATATATATATATATATATATATATATACATATATATATATATATATATATATTAGTGTAGGTCGATTTTGGAACTATAAAAAAGAATAACTCGGGGAAAGTTGCAAAATAACGTCAAAAATTACCACAAAAAATATTTTTCTTCAAAACTTCGTATTTATTTGAGCAATCGAACTTAAAGACAAAATAAGTTGCGAATTTTTTCATCATAACGGTGTCACCGGAGACATGTGTATGTTAAATTAAAACCGAGTCTTAACGAAAAGAAAAAAAGAAAATAATGCTTAATAATGGATATTTTTGAGTTTATTATCTATTCTCTTATTAAATTAAATGAAGTTACTACAAATAAAAAATAAAACACACTAAAATATTTAGTTTAAAATACAAATAACTACTCATGAACGGCGTCGTTTTTACTGGATATTTTTTCGGTATTTACCGGTAGTAATTACCTCCTTTTGTATGTTCGTTTTATTTTTGTTTACGCTTTTAACTAGCGCAAATATCTATTTTATTTTTCATCAAAATATACTTAACTATTTAAAAAAAATACAACTTTTATAATTATTGTAATTTGTTTATATTTTGAAAATTAATGTTTTATTAAAAAGCCTGTTTACAAGCTAATCCCGGAACTAACTCTACTTTTATAAACATTACTTTTTTAATTTAATAATGCATTTCAAGCTTTATTTTCCAATTTATTTTGAAAAATATTTTTGTATAATTTCTGATAATACATATATTTTCTTTGTCAGATATTTTAATAAAAATATCAGGAAAAACATCCCAAAGGGCCTAGCATATCGTGAAATTTTGATAAGACTATATAGCGGCGAGCCTTATCAAAATTCCACGGTATGCTGTTGAGTTGATCAGGGGTGATGTATCTTACAATCTTGGAGCCAGTCTTGCCAAGGCATTGCTCTTGGATTTGAGGGCTATGGGCTTTCTCATCCCCAAAAGATATTTATATAGATAAATGTAAAATTGATAGAGCAAAGGTTAAAGTGAAAAAAGTGATGTTTTGCATGAATTCAACAGTGCGAGCACTATCAAGGCTACCCTTGTTGACAAACACTAATGCCAATTCAGGCTGTGAAGGTGGATTTGCTGCACCTCGAGAAAGAAAACTTAACAGAAATCTTCATACTATTGGTTGCTCCTTGCACCAAAATAAACTTCCATTTAGAGCTCTTTTTAAACATGTAGATGGTACCACAAAATAGCCCTGCCACATTCAATGGTCCACTTGGAAGATTACGTGCAAAGACTCCTTTATGAATATACAGTGGGTATTTGTAGAGGTAAGATGGACTTTAGATTTGCATCATGGAAAATTGGTCCATTGAACCAGTCAAGGTGGTTAACTTTAGGCATCAGTCTGATGTGTTTATGGACTCATGGTGCATACCCACGAAATATTTCAACCAAACTCCACAGTTTAATAAATTTTATTGTGAATGTGTATGCCATTTGCCAGTTCCAAAATAAAAGAAATAACAAGTTCCACAATCAGCAAATGCATATTTTCAATATGATCCAAAAAATTAGGAAGCAACCATATGAAATCCAACAGATCACATTGAAAAATATACAATACAATGCTTTCGCCATACTGCCTGAAAATATCTTATATTCAATGGTCAAATCTGATGAACGGGAAGTGAGGGAAGAAGCTATAAAAAGAATTTTGGCCATTAGGTTAGTAAATATTTATTCATATAAAATTGACTAAATTAGTTTTACCGATTTATGGAATCATTTTAAGGATTTTATCTAATTTCAACATAAATATTAAAGCAGTACAGAGTGCAATTTTTAAAAAAATAAATCAAATTAATTTTTATATTCTTTCAAGAGTGGGAAACAAACCAAGAAAAAATTAAAAAGAATCATAAATATCAATTTTAAAGCTATGCACTGGAGACAGTTAAAAGATCTGTCATTAAGTGGAGTTTGTGAACCACCACTGACAGAAGAATTTTCTGAAAATGAACTTCGGGAATAATTATTAAATGGTACGAAACTTGACTTGCCAGATTTGCCCTCCCATTCTCAAGGCATGGAACGGGCAGTCAAGTTAACAACAGAAGTTTCCCAATCTGTGTATGGCTTTGAAGCAAGGCACCAACACATAATATCAAAAGCTTTGTGTCAGAAATTGAGACCATCATTTTCATCTGAGGGTTCTTATATGGAGCTATTTGACTCTATATATTAAGCCCTATTAAACTATTCTTTATTTTTTCATATTTGTTTGTTTGTTTTATTTTCATTCAAACTAGAAAAAAATCAATTTTTTAATGTATTCAACTAATACTTCTTAATTCATGAGGTAAAAACAGCATTTCAAAATCATCACTGATAGGGGAGGGGCAAATTTTCAATTTGAAGTTTATTCATAATTCCTACATTTTATTTCATTTTGCTAAAACAAAATAACAACATTCCCAGATTTAAATATGAAATTGTTTGTTTTTTTTATCAATATTTAGTCCAAATCTTGCAAAATCGTGGATTTTTCAGTGCTTTTTTGTCTACAATCTTTGATGCCAAATGCTCAAAAAACCGTTGAAGTGACAAATCTAATTTTTTGTATCAGAACTTAACTGGTCTATACACAACTTTCCGTACATTATTCTTTTTGATATTTTAAAAAAAGACAAAAATCAACCTACCCTAATATATATATGCGTGTGTGTGTGTGTGTGTATTTTATGTATGTATATTTATACATGAGTTCTTCTTCCAGTCGTGTTCGTTATATCTCATTATGCTCAAGGGGAGGTATAAATCTATCTCTTCCCCCTCTAGCGAAAAGTTGATTAGTCTGACTACATCCGTAAATACGTAAATCACATGTCCGCAAATATATATACGTACATACGCATAAACACATACACACACACGTACTATGTTATGCATGAGGCCGAGAAAATGCTGGGCGCATCCATTGCATTCGATGTAAATTGATGGAGACTGGCTTATAAAGTGGAACTCTGTATATCTTTTGACAAACATATGCACCGAAACAATGTTTACCTACTTACCCAATGTATGAACTCGAACCGTCTTACTTTCTATTCCAATAATAAATCGACGCCATAATTAAGTTTTGGCTCCAGATTCAGACAGATTAAACATAACCCTAAAGGAACAAGTGGTTTTATATTGAAAAATTAATAAAACTTAATGTAACCTATTTTTACTAGAATTTCGAAATGTAGTCTGAATCGATTCTTCCGTCTATCAATCTGTCTAGATTTTCTTTTCAGATGATCCTCTATCTATCTATCTATCTATCTATCTATCTATCTATCTATCTATCGATCGATCGGTCTATCAGTCTTGGATAATGTAAAAACTATATCTTCTCTGATTATCCCTATCTATAAAAATCTGATGACGAAAAAATTTCCATTTAGGAATCAGACTTCCCTCTTACCTTGAGTGGAAACACAACTCGTCTCCTACTCCAACAAAAAAAAAAAAAATTGACACTTTCAATTTTTTTTGATTGCCCACCACAAAGGTGAATCTTTTGTATGAACGGACTCTCAATGCACTTAAATATATGAACCAATAAATATTTAAATAAGGGAATAGAATCTGCCAAGAAGTTTTTTTTTTCTTTTAATTCAATTGTATGTATGAATGGTCTTTTGAATCTTTTTTTGCATCCTAAACTCTTCATACGTTGACAATAGACAGAATTGTTCTACGGACCTCAAGCACCCTGATTCCTTATATATATATATATATATATATATATATATATATATATATATATATATATATGAAGTGTGGTAAAAGCATAAATGAAAAAAGAGTTTCCACCTTAGGATAAAGTACATCGTAATGCCATAACATGATAATATATATAATATATATACATGATAATATACATATATATATATATATATATATATATATATAGATAGATAGATAGATAGATAGATAGATAATATTAGTGAAAAATATACATACACACACACACATATATATATATATATATATATATATATATATATATATATATATATATATGTAACACAAGGGAAAATAGAAAAATCAGCTGTACCTGACAACATATGGAAGGAAAAGGCACATTACTACCCTCTGTGGGATGAGGTTGAAATAATAGACAGAGAACATCACTGGAAAATACGAAAGTCAAGGAATCAACACATATGACCGTCCACAAAATTTTCCTCATGTCGACCAAAGTGTTATGAGTCTAATACCTGGCTACTGAAGATCTGAATAAAACCTTTGAGTGCTGAGTCAGGTCAAAACGTGTAAAAATAGGTTTTAATACCAGCAATATATATATATATATATATATATATATATATATATATATATATATATATTAATTATTACCAGCAATAATTTTCTGAAGGAAAAATATTACCAGCAATACTTCATTACCAGCGATACATTTTTGAAAAAAGAAAATCCCAGTAATAGAAAAAAAAATATTTTCAGCAATATATTTTTGAAAAAATATTCCCAGTATTAGATTTTGTAAAAAAATATTTCCAAAAATACATTTCTGAAAAAATATTACTATCAATAAAAATCTTGTCGACATTAATAACCCATATTGTTTGATATGCCGTAAAACAAACCAAACCAAACCAAATATAATTTTCTAATATAATAACATGGATGAAAAATTCCTAAAATTATTAAACTAACCTTGACCAACTGAAACAGTTAATCAATTGTAAACGAATGATTTATTGCTAATATTGATGAAATAATGAAACTTGCTCGTGGTTTATATATAAACTATTTTGATCTGTTCTTCAGCAGGACATACCAACACGTAATGGAACGAGGTATTTATTATCGGTAGGCGTAATCTTAATTATATAAGACAGGCAGATGAAATAGTGTTGTGGAACTCACAGATAGAATGATAAAAGAAAAAAAGAATAAAGGACTAACGATCAAATGCAAGAAGACAAAGTATGTAGATAACTGACATGTCCGGAAGCGACATGTCACGTAGAACTAGAACAATCTACACCTGTGAACGAAATAAAGGGTTTCTTTCGAAATTCCAATCACCTGAAGAAGGCCGGACCGTACAATGGTTGAAAGGTCGTGAAAATATCAAGCAAATAGTCGACAATAGTCCGAAGAATGTAAATAGTGTAAAATAATAACAATACATCATCTCAAAATTACACACACACACACACACACACACACACACACACACACACACACACACACACACACACACACATATATATATATATATATATATATATATATATATATGTATGTATGCGCATTACTTAGTGGAAATTACTCAGTATCAGTGCGCAAATGTGTGAAATCCAGGTCACAAACTTATATTCATGGTGGACTCTCGTATGAGTGTCAAGCAGCTTAGTTCCTAGGAAACGACAGCAGACAACAGCACATATGTTTTTTTTTTTATTATAGTAGTGAATAATTTGTGATGAACACCCTTTCTTCACCCTCCAACTATGAGTAAATAGAAGGACAGACTGAGTTCTATAGCCTTGGATTGCAACTGGTCCCTGAATTCTATACCTGCGGATCGTCGTTCGGGGACATTGTGGCACGTAGTGCACCATGTCTCTTTGCCCCTTCAAAAAGTGTAATATCCATACAACTGATTATATATATATATATATATATATATATATATATTTGTAATTAGGCAGCAATTTCTTTTGTAGACATGTCGGATAAAATAAATTACAAACATTATGTCTGCTTATTTTTAACATAATCCGTTCATATTTACGGATATTTTTCCGTGTATTACAATAAAATGATTCAATAAATGCACTGTAACAGTGAAAAGGACTTTTATTTTACAAGTACTTTCCATCGCTTTTTGTGATCATCATCAGGAATGCAACTGATAAGACAAAAACTATGTGTACCTATCCATTATTGATTTTTTTTCTTTTTGCGACAGTTGACAGTTACACTTTAGGGTTCATTAAAAGGTGATAAATTTTCCTCTATGGAAGTTTTTCTTTTATATTGGAATGTCATATCCATATGTGCATTATAGCATATAAACTATTCTTTTTATAGGCATTTTATCAGGTCACCCCATAAGTTCTGTCCGAATTTTGAATAAAGAAAACAAGTGACCAAATGTTACATTTAATTACAGATTCAGTGAACAATGTATTTTCCCTTATTATCTATGACTTCCTTCCATCTATTAACAAGCTTACTAATTCCATTGCTGTAAAATTCTTTTGGCTTTCATTCGAAGAACTCACAAATGTCAGTTCCTGTGTTACAAAAGCTGTTTCTTCCAAATGATTCTGTAAGCTACGAAACAAATAGTAGTCTGAAGGAGCAATACCAAGAGAATAAGGTGGATGAGGAATTTTCTCCCAACCAAGTTCTTCGATATTTTGTGACGTGATTCTTGCTGTGTGGAGTCGCGCATTGTCCTCATGAAACATCACCTATTTTCGATTCACTGGAGCAGGTCTTTTTTCCTCAAAGCTTGGTTCAAACGCTCTAATTGCTGACAGTATATCTGAGCATTAATTGTTGCATTAGGTGGTAAGAATTCAAAGTGGATTATTCTTTGGCGATCCCACCAGATTGAAAGAATAACCTTTTGCCAATGAAGCTCTGTGGCTGGGGTCCTTCCCCTTTACCAAGCCACTGTCTACGACGCTTCACATTTCGATAAAAGATCCATTTTTCGTCGCCAGTCACAAGTCTATCCAAAAAAAGTGAAAGAAGTTGGCGAGAATGGAGAGAAGAGCAGATGTCAACTTGGGATTTGAGGTTGTTTTCAGACAATTCATGAGGCACCCATTTTCCAAGTTTAGGAACTTTTCCAAGTTGTTGAATATGACGATGAACAGTTGTATGGTTTGAACTGAGAACCACTGCCAATTGCTCAACTGATAAAGCAGGATTTTCTTCAAGGGCTGCTTCAAGAAGCTTTTCATCAAACTCAACTGGACGTCCGGTTCGATCTTCATCTTCAAGGGTGGAATCTCCACCTCTGAATTTTGCAAACCATCTTCTGCAAGTTATTTCATTCACATATTACTCTCCATAAACTGAGTGAATGTTTCTAGCCGCTTCGGCTGCTGAGTTTCTTTTCTTGAACTCATAAAGCATTATGTGACTCAAATGATTCTTGGGTACTTCCATGATAGCAGGGTTTTAATCAAACAAAATTTAATTTGATTGTTCTCTGAAATAAAATTTGATCAGTTTAAATGCATCTAAACATAAAAATAATGTTCAGCTCCATTAGACATTATAAAATGCTCATTAAATTTCGTTCATTTTAACAAAAAGTTAAAATTCGGACAGAACTTATGGGATAACCTGATAGAACATTGTTACAATATTCATAGTTGAGTGTATTGAGTGTCGGCTTCAATTTTTTAATGAAGATGCTATTTTCTTGGTGTAGAATAATTGTGTTATCAATCCATATTTTTCTACACAGTGAATGCGGACATGAATGTTGATGTAAATATTTCGCAATGGACGAATGCTCAGATATATGTATAGTAAGACGTCTTGATGTTGTACTTGTCGTGTATGCAACATATATATATATATATATATATATATATATATATATATATATATATATATATATATATATATATCTATCGGAGATACATTCTCCCAAGTGACATTTTAATTGATATATAATATCGGTTTTAAGTAATATATCTGCTGGTGGGAGGAGTTATTGTGAGTAATTAAATTGGCTGTATTGTATTTCGCATAATATATGATTAATTTTATTTTTATTAGGATCCATCGGAGATATATTGGTATGAATGGGTTTTTTAATGATTTTCTCATTCTGTTTGTAGTTAGCATGCATATATATATATATATATATATATATATATATATATATATATATATATATATATATATACACAAAATTGGTGCTATACAAAATTATTCAGCACCCATATAGAATATATTTCTAAATGGAAATTATGAAATAATATGGCTCTTTGATAATTGTAATATATTTTTTCTTAATTTAAGATTTAATACTAACACTCTTTGAAAATGTAATATTACTCACCTGATACTATAACAGTCTAAAACGTAATGAAGGAAACAATATGTCCGTACCATGAATCGCAATAACTCATTCGTTATGCAAATATGCCGAAGACGCCCTGAACTGGACAAGAAGCTCTGAATTGAGATAGTTGATGTGTACAAAGCAGTTGATAAAGATACAACACTTTCCAAGCGTTTAAATGTTCCTAGATCAATACTTCGTAGCATTATCAAGAAGTACGACGAGACTCATTGTATTAGGAAGAAATTACGCACTGGCAGAAAACGGTTAATTTCTGAGAGAATAGAAAGAAAAATTGCTAGTGATATCTCGAAGAATCCTCACTTAATGACAAAGAATATTGCCAATAATGTAAAAACCTCTGGGTTGAATATATCCACGAAGACATTCACCAGATTCTTTGCAGGGTTCGAGCAGGACTTCGAGCTTGTCGCCGAAGGAAAATCCCATGCTAAAGTTTAGCAACTAAAATACAGATTAGTTTTGTTAGAAGCCATCTAGAACATGGAATAAATATTGGAACTCGGTTTTCTGGTCAGATGAATCCAAACAAGAATTATATGGTAACATGAACCTTCATTATGAATTGACGTAAGTGAGTAACGCTTAAAAATAAAAAAAATACCCTCCCTACAATTAAGCACGTTGGTGTGAGCATTCTGCTCTGGGGATGTTTTGCTGCTTCTGGACCAGGAGAACTAATGAGTGTACGAGGTATCATAGATAATATGTAGTATTTCGCTGTTCTTAAAAATAATACAAAAAAAATCCCTTAAAGCAGATTAAAGGAAATCATCAAGAATAAAGGTTGCAAAATTGATTATTGAAGCAAATGAGTCAATCATTTTGTACACTAAGAAACATTTGGGTTATTAATAGACAAAAAAGATAATAGTTAAACATCGAAAAACATAAGGAATATTAATTCTTTTTAATGATATATGGAAATATTCACTCTTTGCCTGATGAAGGTCGTGTGACCGGAAACCCGTGTAGCAAAAATATGGAAAATAAAGTATAATATATATTTAGAAAACCCGTATTATAACCAAAATCGTTTGTGGTTTCTCCCATCTTTTGTAAATTATCAAGAACAAAACAAATATATAAATTCAGTTTTATCATGTTTCAGCTTTATTCCAGTTCTTATCGATTTTAAACAAACATTATTGAGGACTGGAGTTTTTTTTTATTTTATTTTCTTTGAAAAATTCTAAAGTTTGCCGAAAATTTTGTTAAAAAAAAAAAATGCCCTCAACATCAATCGAAAGTGTATTCCCTTCCTGAATTCCGAAAAAAAAATAAGCAAAATTAATCAATCCCAAAAAATGAATAAATAAATTAAATAATAAACAAATTAACAAACCACTCCTGCTAAAATAACCGTTAGAATAGACTACAACAATCAATCCAAAAATAGCTATAATTATCTTCCCAAACCAAATACACACTTTCTTCTCATCGTAATAACTATGACGTCTTACTGATATATATATATATATATATATATATATATATATATATATATATATATATATATATATGTGTGTGTGTGTGTGTGTGAAAAGTGTACATAAATATAAATAAATATATATATGTATAATTATTTATATATTATATGCGCAGTACTTATTAGAAAGTGCTCAATATCAGAGATAGAGCTAACATATTTGGTTGGTTATATATATATATATATATATATGTGTGTGTGTGTGTGTGTGTGTGTGTGTGTGTGTGTGTGTGTGTGAGTGAACGAGTGAAATTATGTAACTGTAGAAACCCAGAAGACTGCCCATTAGAAAATAAATGTTGTATTAACTCTGTGGTATACCAATGCACTATTTCATCCACAGAGAGCCCTAGCACTAATATGATATACATTGGGTCCACGAAGAATAATTTGAAAGATAGATGGAGGCAGCATAAGTGCTCCTTTAATAATATAAACAAAAGAAACCAGACTTCACTATCAAAATATTTTTGGCACTTGAAGGAAACAAATAAGACACCAAAAGTTAAATGGAAAATTATTGACAAGGCTAGAACATGTAAGGCTTGGGATGACCCATGCCCTTTGTGCCTCCATGAAAAATTACACATTATTAAACTTCTAAATAATAATAATCTATTAAATAATAGACACGAGTTAACGGTTTTTTGTAGGCATCATCAGATTTTTAGTTTGAAATAAAAAAAAAAAAAATTATATAACTTGTTTAACAAATAACCCAATCATCAGATTCATAGTAGAAATTATTAACTACAAACTTGCATACAACATAACACCCTTCATAATACATAGCCCAAATTAGTAATTTAAATACCTTACCTAAAAGATAACCCTTTATGAAGTCGTCAAAAACAAACGCCACGAAAGTTTTTTCTTTTATAAGCACAATTCCCTTTCATAATAAAATAAAATAAAATAAATAAATAAATCTCCATAGACAAGCCAAATTGACGAAAGCTTAATACATCTTCGTTTCTTTTTAACACCCCACCGTCCCCCGACTTGACACCTTGAAAGTATCTCTATACCGACACTCATCATTAACACCCTACACTCGCCTACCCATTTTAGACAATTCGCCCTAACTGTTACCATGGTGATTTTGATTTCAACTTTTAAAACAAGTAAATTTCAGATATACGTTATTCCAACAAAAATTTTCTTGAAGATGGAACGGAGCCCTTTTTTTAATTTCAACTCAATTTAATTTAAAGGATTATATTGAAGTTTTCGGCTCTTGTTTTGAAACATGAGACCTCTTATGTAGCGATTTGGAATCATATTTTAAATAAATAATTATATTTATATATATATATATATATATATATATATATATATATATATATGTGTGTGTGTGTGTGTGTGTGTGTGTATACATATATAATAGTAAATTATAAATACTCATATACATTAAATTTAATACAATTATTTCATTTTAAAAGGTCTTAAATATAACATTATTCTTGTAAAAAAGCAATCTAATTATTAGTGTTTTATATTCTTTTGTAAATTATCAAGAACAAAACAAATATATAAATTCAGTTTTATCATGTTTCAGCTTTATTCCAGTTTTTATCGATTTTAAACAAACATTATTGAGGACTGGAGGTTTTTTTTTTTTTTTATTTATTTTCTTTGAAAAATTCTAAAGTTTGCCGAAAATTTTATTAAAGAAAAAAATGCCCTCAACATCAATCGAAAGTGTATTCCCTTTCTGAATTCCGAAACCTGTCGTGTTCATTTCTATTTTTAGTGGTTTAACGTGATGTTCCCAAGTTAAAAATGAAATGGTTTCGAATCTTGTCGGGAGGTATAAAATGTTAATAAAACTTTCTTTCTTCAGGCGGGTAGATATTAATTTAACTGTTAAAAAGTTATATCTTTTCAAATACGCGTACTATAATATTTATAATAATATTATATATATATATATATATATATATATATATATATATATATATATATATATATATTAGTGTGTGAGAAAGAGAGAAATCTTCCAAAAGGCAAGCATAGAATTTCACGTTTTTCCCTGTTCTTGCCATAGAAATATATGCTTTCATATAACTACTATTCCCTTATCAATTACGTCTTGCTGAATCAGATAATTTGATATTACAAAATTGATATTCACATATATTTCAGTCCGTCCGGACATTTTCTCTGTATACATCTGCCAATAAGCACATTCCGTTTTCGTCAATAAATCAACAGTGAATAGCACAGTTCGCTCAGCGTTTACTCTTTCCCTCTTCACTCTTTAATCTCTAACTTTTTTTTTTCCATCTCTTCCCGTCTCTATCTAGCTAGCTAGCTAGCTATCTCTGTGGAGTTGATGGCGACCCTCTTCAGAGTTTTTATCGTTCGCAAATAGTTCAATAATGTCCAGACGCTTTTCTTAGGATGATAGAACGTCATGGCGGAGGTTCGAACGCTATCTAATTCATCTGTTATTTTTTTTTTCTTTCTATTTCGTTTTTATTCCATTTTCTAGCATGATGATTGAATGTCATCCTTGATGGTTCCCTCTCGACACACGGGAGTCACTCACAATGCAATGGTACACAACTACTAGAAAACCCATTTTCGGTGCCCACTTTTGCAAAGTCCCTTACAATAAATTGATTGTACTTTATCGAAAAAAGAAAAAAAAAGTCATCGTGTTTTGACATTTTCTTCATTTTTTTTTTGTTCCTTCAAGTTTTCGTTTTATTTGCTTATTTTCTTTCAATCTTCTCAATTGGTGTTTTTTCTTCATACTTCTTTTCTAGGTTTATTTCCTTTTTAAACAAGTATTTTTTTGCCTGCGTCCTATTTTGCTTCCTTCATTTTTATTTAATCATTTCACTTTCTCTTTTCCTCCTTGTCAGCATTCGTCTCAGTTTATCCTTTTCGATTTTTCTTGACTTCCATTTCTTTAAGAGTTATTTAAATTATTTTACTTTTTACTTATACTTTATATCTCAACATTAATACACCTCGATTTTAATTTCTCTACCTGTCTCTGTTCTCTACTTATCTATGTTCTTTAACTATCTGTTCTCTACCTATTTCTGCTTTCTACCGATCTATGTTCTCCACCTATCCCTTTTCTCTATCTCTGTTCTCTACTTATCTATGTTCTTTAACTATCTGTTCTCTACCTGTCTCCTTTTCGTACCTATCTCTGTTCTCACCCTTTTTCTATGTTCTCCACCTATCCCTTTTCTCTATCTCTGTTCTCTACTTATCTATATTCTTTAACTATCTCTTTTCTACCTGTCACCTTTTCGTACCTATCTCTGTTCTCTACCTATTTCTGCTTTCTGTCTATCTCTTTTCTATACCTTTCTCTTTCTGTCCTTTTTCTTATCCTCTTTCACATTTACAAACGCACCATTATTTGCTGAGCATATTTTGTTTCATTTTTATTAAATTTCCTTTCTACACCCACGTTGTTATTTTATTCATTTGTTTTCTTATATTTATTGTTTTGTTTTTTCCATTTGTTTTTGTTTTTCTTTCTTCTTTCGCGTTTATTCTTCAAAGATTTACTTACATTCACCAAAGATTTCTCTGTGGTGTCCGAACGTCAGTCAACAATCCCTTTTTCCATCATCCTGAAGGTTTTGCAGGGACTGAAATAGATAAAGTAAAGTAAAAGCAGGATTAAATTAAACATCGTCTGCTTTTATACATAGTTCTACAAAATGTTTGGGCCAAACCAAGTATTCGTCGCTAAGAAGCTAGAATAAACTCTTTTCTTATATGTATGCCTCACAAAGTTTTCATGTATTAGCTGAAACTGTGTAAATATAGAAATGTAGGAAAAAGTGAATATGCATATATGTGAAATCATATATGTGCAACCCTCTGGAAAATATTGCTGTAAAGGAAAAATAAAATAAGTCAAATGTCAATGTATGTACCCAGGCTTTCGTAGTAGTAAAATAATTGGTTTAATAAAAATATTGAAAAAGAGTTTGAGAATCAATAATATATCAGACTCCTTCATGTCAGGATTAAATTAAATCTAGTAAATTGTCTCGATTATAGAAACGTATTTTCTAGGATTACGGGGATTATAATGTGTATCGGGATAAAACTGGAATCTTTGAGCTTAGGTCAAAATCCGAGCTCATCTGTAATGTTCGCTTTCGTACAAATGTCCTGGGCGCGGGGGAGGCATGAATTCGTTACTTTTCCTTCGGTTATAGATTACTTAGCAATTTAGAATGAACTCTATAGCCTGTGGTGGTAACCAGTCTAAAAACCAAAGGAAACAACTCACTTACGTTTTCCAAGAATGAATGGCAATTCCAAGATGATAATAATATCTGTGGAGAGTTCAGCCCGTCTAAGTCCTGAAGAGATATAGCATTAAAAATACAATCGTCTGTATTTGTATGTTTGTAAATATGGATGAATTTTTTTTTTTTTTTTTTTTTTTTTTTTTTTTTTCGATTGACAGCAAAATATTTTGTTGGCCAAAATGATCGTTCCATTATTACGTAAATTGATGTAATAAATCGAAGTAAATTTCTGGCCAACACAATGCATGTATAAACGTGGAAGTCAAAGGCTTCATTATTTCATCATTACATATATATTTTATCTACAATAAGACATTGGTGAATTCCATTCACAAGATATTTGAGATTATTCAATAATAATTCTCCGGCTGCATTCAGTTTCGTTTTTTTGCCATTCTGGTCATTTTAATTTTACCGATGTTGCAATATTCAACCTTGTATCATTTCAGATACCAAAAAAAAAAAAAATGACTATAAGTAGGGTGAACCAAAATTAGGTAGACATTAAATGATACCATTTATTTTTAGATTACATAATAATACAATTAAATTTTAAATAAACCATTATTATATCTTCAATTAAATTTTACTCTGTACCATAATATAATACAAATAGCATTGGAAATTTTATCAACGTAGGTGCTGAAACTAGTGTTCTATCTTATTTCTCTACCTATCTCTTTTCTCTACTCATCTATGATCTCTACCTATCTCTTTTCTCTACTTATCTATGATCTCTACCTATCTATGATCTCTACCTATCTCTTTTCTCTACTCATCTATGATCTCTAACTAACTCTGTTCTCTACTTATCTATGTTCTTTACCTATCTCTTTTTTTACACTGATCTCTACCTATCTCTTTTCTTTTATACAGTTTTGAAGTCTACCTTCCACGGTTCGACAAATATTTTTGACTAGCTTCTTTCTGTATTACTTTCTTGAAATGCATCTTGGTTCAATTTTTCAAATTTCCAACACTTCGTGGTTTTCGAGCCCATAGCAATAATATAACCAAAACATAAACCCTATTCAACCTACTTTCCACTTACTCATGGTTCAACCTATATATATATATATATATATATATATATATATATATATATATATATATATATATATGTGTGTGTGTGTGTGTATGTGAAAAGTGTGTATATAAATATAAATAAATATATATATATATATAATTATTTATATATTATATGCGCGGTGGTACTTATTAGAAAGCGCTCAATATCAGAGATAGAGTTTGTCTGACGATCGCTAAAGCGTGAAACCCAGGGTCACAAACTCACATCTATCCAACAATATATATATATATATATATATATATATATATATATATATATATATATATATATATGTGTGTGTGTGTGTGTGTGTGTGTGTGTGTGTGTGAAAAATATAGAAAATAGGAAAGGACTCGTTAGGTAAATAATCCAACGTTCTTTAGTATTTTTGTTATTATTTTAAAAAAAACAGTGATCGATACAAAAGTAGAGCCTAAATGTATAGCCATTAGTCGCACATAGAAAATGAATAACATCTCCTAATCAAACTAATGTACATGAACATGAGTATTTCTAATACTCCAATCGCAAATGGTAAAAAAAGAATGTCCATCTTAAGATTTTTCAATGGACAAATGATCTGTGGCTATTACTTAATTAAAAAATGACTATATTTTTGTTAGATGAAACATGATTTTCACTCCCTGTTGACTTTAATATTTAGTTTCCAAATTCCAAGTTCGGCCAGTTCTCGGATTGATTAGTTTATATCTTTTGAATTGATAAGACTTGGTAAAATATTAACCTCTTGGTATGAGCCTTATGTACTTCGGCAAGGATAACACACTTGTCCATTACTATTGTTAAACAAGTAAAGACCCTATTTGGTTTGTAACCGTGCAGTTATGTGGAGCTTAAAACCTAAATCTAGTCATATATAGCACAAATATATAGGATATATTTGCGCAGCAAGTATTAATCCAAATATGTTTGGTAAAATTAACAGTGTAACCAAGAACTTTGGACGGATTATTCCCAAGATCAATCCCAATACAAACACATTGTTTGAAAATTGAAAAGAAATACAGTAAAAAATTTTACTAAGACATTGTCGCTTGTATTTAAAAAAACTTTATATATATATATATATATATATATATATATATATATATATATATATATATATATATATATATGAAAGATTTCTGCGAGTTAACCTGTAAAAAAAGACACTATGTAAAGGTAAAAGACAATAGAAATAATGTAATTCTGTTAGGAAAGGTGATATAGGCAAAAATCATGGGCGTAAATTAATATTTGGATAATATTAAATGCCGGCACTCTCGAGGTTTTCCCTTCTAAGTGAGTTATTTTCTTTTTCTTTTCTTTTTTTTCCGTGTATGACTAGTGCACGAGTTAAATTGTTCTTTATGGGTCGCTTTTGTGCTCATATATGCACTAGTCATACACAAAAATAAAATCAAGCACAATTTTGATTTTTAAAATGATACAATCATAATCAAAGAAAATATTTTTTATATATTTCCGTCGTGGGGTCTACGAAGTCTTTTAATCCGCACACTAAATTACACACACACACACGCGCACGCGCGCACACACACATGAAAAACTACACATTATTAAGTTTCTAAATAATAAAAATCTATTAAACAATAGACATGAGTTAACGGTTTTTTGCCGACATCATCAAATTTTTGCATTGAATAATTAGCATAAAAACAAACAATATAATAATTTTTAAAATCCATAGTCCTAATAAATAGTTTAAATGCCCTACCAAAAATATAACCCTTTATGAAGTCGTCAAAAAACAAATGTTAACGATTTACGACAGTTTTTATATACACAAAGCCCTTTCAGAAAAAAATAATAAAAATTTTTTTTTTTTTTAAATAAAATCTCCATAGACGCTTAACCAGACTAGGCGATGTCTTCTTCCGCTTTAAATTTAGACACCTCAACCTTACCCTGACTTGACATCTGTGAATGTAACCGAGATATTGATACAAATGATTAACACCTTACGCCCCTTTTTCTTTAAACAATTGCTCTAGCCGTTACCATAGAAATTTTGATTTTAATAATAAATATGCTTATAAAACACGTAAATTTCAGAAATAAGTTATTCCAAAAAAAAATTCGCTTGGAGATGGAACAGAGCTTAGTACTTTAATTCAATTTAATTCAAATAATTATATTGAAGTTTTCGGCTCTTGTTTTGAAACATGAGAACTCTTATGTAGCGTTGGAATCATATTTTATATAAATAATTATATATATATATATATATATATATATATATATATATATATATAAGAAACACACAAACATGCAAGAAAATAAAATTGTCACATATTGAATGTGTATACCGTTTTTGACTTGCGTAGCGTATTTTCGTGTCAGTCCGTGTGAAATATTCTGATAACATCTTTATTTGATCATATTTTGAGGCAGAAACGCTCCTATCAGTGTACCAACTATGTCTGACTTAAAAGAGTGAAGCATAGTGCGATAAGGTTCAGGCTAGTGAGAACATCGAGAGAAACCCTCGTTGATGCACGTCTGTTATGCTAGCGGTCTCTTTATGTTCAATGAGAAAAGTCTAGAAGGGTTTGTATTGTCCGTTTTCAATATGCTACTTGATCATTTCTGAGAACTTCGGAGCATGTTAGCTGTGACACGATGGTAGTGATACAATATTGGCCATAGTAGTCTATACTGACATACCACGTCCTAGACGACCACTACAGACTCTCGCCGGGATCGATTCAATATAATTCAGAACCAGCAAACTGCAAGTCGTTCAAAGTTTATTATATATCAGTAGTTATATGTATTTTTATCAGCATCTCAGCCCTAAAGCCATTGTACTATAAATTAACTGAATGATTTTTGATAGTGATGTATGAGTCACTGAACTTCCTTTGACATTCCCGGCTACTCTCATAGCCACACGTATTTAAGATTTTGAGAATATTTTGGGTCAGTTGTGCATTCAAGAGGACACGAAAAATTTTGATATGCCACTACATTGAAAGGAAATTCGTCTGCCGGAAATATTGACTAATAGAATTTTAATTCTTGGATATTAAAATTAATATTAAAAGAAATTAAAAACAGATAAAAGAGTTAAAAATGCGTTATAAATTTAGGTAATTTCGGTCAGTTCAGTGTGGGAGTATATACAGCCTCAGTGTTGTTGTTTTTCTGCTATATTCACATAAGCTAATAACGTTGTTAAGCGAGTTTTCATGACCTTTCTTTTTCTGTACCATGACATAGGCGATTATGGCTTTCCACCACTCTCTATCCCTTGCAGCTCTCAACAAGTTCCTTCTCTCTTCTTCCTCTCCCAGACCACGTTCTGACATCCACTTGCTTAAGTCCGCTAGGTATGTCACCCGTTGTTTTCCCATGTCTCTCTTTCCCTCTATTCGACCCGTGAGTATCAGATACTCCACGCCCTCCTTTCTCATTACGTGTTCCAGAAATTTCAGTTGCCTCCTGTTGATGTTAAATATAAGCTTCCTCCTTGTGTGCATCCTCTCCAAAACCTCATCGTTGCTCACATGCTCGATCCATGAAATGCTTAGCATCCTTCTGTAGAACCATACCTCCGTTGCCTCCGTCCGCTTCTTCTTGATATTAAGTAACTCCTCCTTGTTTGCATGATATTCTCAGCATCATTTTGAACCACATCTCTCTAGCCTCGAGTCTCTTCTTCATCTTTGAGAAAATCGTCCAACATTCGCAGCCGTAAAGAAGGACAGCAGCCATTAAATCGTTATACTGTTTCGAGCCTTTCCTGATTTTTCAATTCCAAAACGTTTTCCGCCTAGCGGCTGCTGCTACTAATAACGGGATTCCACTCTCTCGTATTTTCAACTATGACTATAACGCTTGGCTTACCTTGGTCGTTCAGATCTTAACTTTGTCGGCGAGTGAAACGAATGACTTGATATATTATCTGTTTTCAAGCACGGATGTAGACATTCCAGACGCCGTCTGTGCTCGCAAGAGCTATTGTACAATTAAGAAGTGAGCATCAACTTTCACCTTGCAGGTATTCTCGAAATATAAAATCTCTTGTACTGAGTGGGAAGATTTGATTCCTTTCCCAGGCACGGCTATCATACTACCCTTCTTCTTTCTTTTATTACCGTGTCCCTTCAGGACGTAGGCGGTCATGGTCCTCCACTTCCCCCTATCCCTTCTAGCTCACAATAAGTTTTCTCCTTTTGCTACTTCTCTAGGACCCTGTTTTGTCATCCACTTGCTTAAGCACGCTAGGTATGTCATGCGTCGCTTTCCCTTGTCTCTAGTTCTCTCTATTCGACTTTGAGTATCAGATTCTCCACGTCCTCCTTTCTCATTACGTGTCCCAGAAATTTCAGCTGCCTCTTCTTGATGTTAAATATAACCTCCTTGTATGCATCCTCTCCAAAACCTCATCGTTGTTCACATGCTTGATCCATGATATTTTTAGCATCCTTCTGTATAACCATATTTCCGTTGCCTCGAGTCTCTTCATCTTTGAGGAGAACGTCCCACATTCTCTGCCGTGAAGGAGGTCAGATGTCCCGGAGCAGTTCAGTAATCTTTTCTTTGTTGGCAAAGAAATCCTCCTGTCACGTAATACTCCGTCTAGCTTTAGGAATGCGTCTTTGGCCATCCCAATATGTCTTCAGATTTCAGCGTCGAACTTATCACCCTGTGTCAGAACACTTCCCAGATATTTAACTTTCTGAACCTGTTTGATTTTAGTGTTCCCGACCTGTAAATCGCATTCCGGGCTCATCTTTTTACAGGTGACCAAACATTGTTTTCCTGGAGTTTATTCTTAGTCTCTTCTCGCTCTCCTTCACTACCTTCTGTAGGAGGTTTTGTAATTTCTTTTCCGTGTCTTTTATCAGTACTGTATCCTCTGCGTATCTTATGTTATTAAGATTGTGGCCACCAATGATGAATCCCGGTAGGATTTCCAATTCTCTCAGATTTGCCTCGCTGTTTAGTTTTAATAAGTCCGGTGAGATGACACATCCTTGCCATACGCCCCTTTCTATATTTGTATATCTGTTGAACTAATTATCTATCCGCAAGCAGGACGTTTGCTGCCAGTATAAGTTCTTGATTATTCTAATATCTTTCCAAATTATATCAATGTTTCTGAGCAGTTTCAACAGATCTCTGTGACGTAATAATCGAACGCTTTTGCGTAGTCTATGAAACATAGGTACACGTTCTTCTGCATTTGTATTGGTCTTTCGGATAACATTCTGAGTATGAATATCGCGTTACATGTTCCGGTGTCTTTGACGAACCCGCACTATTCTTGCCCTATCTCTGACCTGATATTGCTACACGCTCTATTCATCAGAATACGGATAATGGGTTTTGTTATGTGGCTCAACAGGTATTTGTTCGGCGGATTTCATATACGTTTGCGCCTGTTTTCTTAGGCAGTGCTTTGAAAATAGATCTGCTGAGATCTTCTGGTATACACCCATTGTTGTAGATTTCATTTATTACTTCTGTGATCTTGTCTTTGCCAAAAAATCATCTAAGACTGTCAGCATTTCCGTTACAATTCTGTCTGGCCCTGCCTCCTTGTTTCTATCCAATGTCGCCAGTGCAACGTCTACTTCTGTTTTCAGAATTCCAGGTCTGTCGGTAGTTCTGTGTATTGCTGGTTGTTCTCTTTTGTGGTGGAAAAGTCCTCCAATATATTCGCTCCAGCGATGAAGTATTTTCCTTCTCTAATATGAGCGTTCCATCCTTTGATTTTATGCAGCATGTTGACAATCAAGTCTCCTGTCATGTAATTTTGCTTATTTGTTTATGCATATCTTCTTTGTTAGTGGTACTTAATTTCCATATTTCTGCACATGTCTTGTTTGGCAATTCTTTTTTATACGCTACAGAATAGATTAACTTACTGGTTTTCTCACTGCTTGTTTCGTTATCACGCAAAAACAATGAGCGTTGATATAGTCCAATGTTCTGTTTAATTTTTCCCAACTAATGTTTTAACAACATGACCCGATATCATAAATCAGATATAATTTTCTAATTTTTATTACTTTAGTTGAGATGGGATGAGAAATTAAAATAATCGCTGCAAAATGAAGAAGATAAAATATGCATATCTAGTTTCCCGCTATGACACATGTCATCCCAATAAATGTTTGACACTTAGGGCTACACACGATTTAATTTCTAAGCAAGGTTTGAGCTGACACATTTTATTCTGATAAATGATTGATCCTCGGATTGACCAGATGTAGATTTCTAGCGGTGAAAATTTATAGTCTCGCTTTCAAAACATTCCGACACACTTTTTTATATTCATTTTATTGCTCGAATTAATATTTTCGTAGAGTTCTTTGTTTATTTTAACCTTCCATTAATCCATACTTTAATGAAGATTCCCCCTATTCTTTTAGCTCTATTTCTACATCGCCAGAAATCACTCTTTGAAACTTTCATGCAACAATAATACTTCAAAGGATCTCGTTACCTCATTACATCGATCTGTATATAAAAAAAAATAAATGTAGCTCAAGGTTCAGCACCGACCGTTGTGAATGGTTTACTTGCAACAGGACTAAGGGCATGCATCCCTCCAGACAGAAATCAACATTTTCTATCGGTTTTGCTTCCATGTGTGTCGGGGTCATATGCGCGTGAAGCGTAGGCCTTGGAAGCAATATTATCCATCATGTAGTCGCCCAGAGTACATCGACATCACTGCAGTGGGTATAGAAAATTAGGGTGTCCAATCAAGGAGGCTACCCCTGGAAGCAATATTATCCATCATGTAGTCGCCCAGATTATATCGACATTACTGCAGTGGGTATAGAAAATTAGGGTGTCCAATCAAGGAGGCTACCCCTGGAAGCAATATTATCCATCATGTAGTCGCCCAGAGTACATCGACATTACTGCAGTGGGTATAGAAAATTAGGGTGTCCAATCAAGGAGGCTACCCCTGGAAGCAATATTATCCATAATGTAGTCGCCCAGAGTACATTGACATTACTGCAGTGGGTATAGAAAATTAGGGTGTCCAATCAAGGAGGCTACCCCAAAAATATTTCTGGTGCTTGTTCATCTGGCTAGATTTGGGGAAACGTATCGCATTATTTAAATTTTCAGCACGAAATCATCCTTCTCTCATTTCAGCATTATCACTTTCTTTCTTTCTTTCTTTCTTTCTTTCTTTCTTTCTTTCTTTCACTTCAATATTATCTCTCTCTTCAATACTATCTTTCTCCTCAACATTGTCTCTATCTCTCTTCAACATTATCTCTCTCTTCAACATTATCTTTCTCTCACTCTCTCTTCAACATTCTCCCTTTCACTCCAACATTACCTCTCTCTTCAACATTATCTCTCTTTTCTCCCTCTAACTCCAACATTACCTCTCTCTTCAACATTATCTCTCTTTTCTCCCTCTCACTCCAACATTATCTCTCTCTTCAACATTATCTCTCTTTTCTCCCTCTCACTCCAACATTATCTCTCTTTTCTCCCTCTCACTCCAACATTATCTCTCTTTTCAACATTATCTCTCTCGTCAACATTATTTCTCTTCATCATTCTCTCTCTCTATTATCTCTCTCTTTCTCTTAGACGTTATATCTCTCTTAATCTCGCTCCAACGTTATCAATCTCTCACTCTCTCACTAACGTTATCTTTCTCTTTCTTTCTCGCTCTCGCCGTTATATTTCTCTATATCTCTCTCACCGTTATCTTTCTCTCTCTCACCAACATTATCTTTCTTTCTCCCTCTTCCGTGTAATCTTTCTTTCTTTCCAACATTGATTTCTTTCTTTGTCTCTCTTCAACGTTATCATTCTTTCTCTCTCCAACGATATCTTTCTCTCTCTCTCCAATGTTATCTTTCTCTCTCTCCAACGTTATCATTCTCTGTCTCCAAAGTTATCTTTATCTCTCCCCAACGTTATCTGCCTCTCTCTCTCTCTTTCTCTCTTTCTCTCTCTCTCTCTGTGCACCGTTATCTTTATCTTTCTCTCTCTCTCTCTCTCTCCAACGTTATATTTCTTTCTCCCCAAGGTTTTCTCTCTCTTCAATGTTATTTGTCTCTCTCTCCAAAGTGATCTTTCTCCTTTTTAAAAGTTTTCTCTCTCTCTCTTCAACTTTCTCACTCTCTTCAATATACTCTCTTTCTTCAACCGTTTTCTCGCTCTCCAAAGTTATTTTCTATCTCTGTCTCCAACGTTCTCTCTAACGTTCTCCCTTTCTGTCTCTCTCTTTCAAACATTCTCTCCCTTCCCAACATTCTCTCTCTCTCTCTCTCCCTCTCTCTCTCTCTTTGGCTGTATGAAAAACATAGAAAATACTTTCCTTACCTTCTAACTGAAAGCTTTATTTTTCTTGGGACTCAAGGGAAAATCACGGCAAATTATTGTATCATAATCAAAAGGAAATTTTTTTTATTATAATTATTCCTTTTTGATTTGTTATAATCATTGACTTTTTTCTCCTGCGAACCAAGTAAAAAGAAGATTTTTCTTAGTATGTATTAAATGTTTTTTTTTGTTTTTTTTATGTGAGCAGTCAACATTACTATTAAATGTCTATCTGCTCTATATAAAACTACATTTTACAAAGTATCAATAAACATTTCCCAAAATTTAAAATCCAGCAATATCTATCTATCTATCTCTGTCTCTCTCTCTCTCTCTCTCTCTATATATATATATATATATATATATATATATATATATATATATAATGAGATGCCGGATTATGACTATGTTGTAGTTATTTCATACAAGTCCAGGAAAACCATTTTCATTCACTTCCTGTATTACACACACACACACACACACACATATATATATATATATATATATATATATATATATATATATATATATATATATATATAATAAACAAAATAGCCATAATTCAAGAATCTCTTTTCCTAGACAGCGTCGCGTAAGTTTTGGCATCTTTAATATCAAAATATGTTCACTTACTTTCCCACTGTCTTTCCGATTTCTCACTTCCACTTTGAACACTTGTCTCTAGCGACTGTCACCCGTCTCTTTGCCTTGAATGGTGTTAGAGATTTACGCTGTCATGAGCAGGTTAACAAGACTGGCAATATGTCGGGTTCTCGCGAGGCTTGAAGGTGACGTGACAGTAGGTGCTTTGAGTTTACGGGAGAACCGAGGAGTAAGTCAAAATATTGTAAAAGCCAGACAACGAATGTGGCCTGAGAATGTTGTAGCTGAAAAATGAAGGAGCGGATCTAATGAAAGTGTTTCGATGATCGAGAACATGTGGAAGCGGCGGTGTCGATTGTAGAAGACATAGACGTAAAGTAAGAAAATAGTTAGGCGAATACAAGTCTTAAAGAGAAAGGAAGTTCACTTGTTGTAAAACGGAAATCAAAAGGCACAATGTAGTTTTCAAATACACCGTAGAGAAGGTACATAAAGAAAGAATCAAAATACGTTGGTTATAAAAAGAAAACAGACATTGTAACTTACAAATGATTGTGAAAAGTGATTAAAAACAGCAAGGTAGGACATGGAGATGATGCTATAAAATAGCTGAGAAAAAATGTCTGGCATGCATCTCAGTTTTCGAATACGAATTGCAAACGTTTTATTACAAACGTAAATCTAACTCTCACTGGAGTGTGGTAATTCAGAATTTAATTTGATTATCTCAGTTTGTTATAAAAAGACCGCATATCAATTAAGAAACATCATTTACAGCTGATTATAATTTAATTAATATGATCAATGAACATTCGAATGTTCTGTGATACGATTTATAAAATCAACATGTAGTGAAAGCTGTTCGCAGTCAAGTTAAAATGTATGCATTATTTACTTTTGCGAAGGGATAACAAGTAAACCATAATTCCTGTGTTGAATTACCCATTTTCTTCTGTTTTACATAGTCCTTATGAATGTTTACGCTTGAATTAAATATTAAAGGATTACTTATCATACAATCTTTTTTTTTTACATCTCGGTTGATCTGGTTTTAGATTAAAATATTTGATTAAATACCCCATAAAACAAAAAGAAAAAAAAATGCTTCCACACAGATATGTTTCAATACACGTGTACAAACAAAAGTCCATGGTTCTGTTAAAATGTGGATTATTAACATTCTATTTTATACTTTGGAAATACAAAACCGTTGAGCTCAATGTAACGTTTGGCATACTTCAACAATTAATGTATTATATTTTCAAATACAATTAACGTATTGTTGTAAAGTCTATTTTAGAATTTAGGACTAAAAGACGCTTTAATATTTTATGTAACCATATGTATCAGCTTTAAGTTAATGTCTGACTGCTGTTAGCTGTGTCATATTTGATTGGTTGATCCGAGTATGGCCCACAAACCTTATAACCATTTTTTTTAAAAAAAAAAAAAAGGTTGTGTTTTGCTTTTAAATCCAAATAAATCGTTCAGTAATTATCAAATGTTTCATGAGACGCATTGTTTAGGAAATTTTACATGTTTTGGGTGTAATATCCTATATATATATATATATATATATATATATATATATATATATATATGAACCCCCCCTTCATTATGTAGGTGAAATCTAAGATTGGAACGGTATTTTAATTTTACGTTTTTGGTGCAATTGCAATATCCTAAATATATATATATATATATATATATATATATATATATATATATATATATATATATATATATATAACACCCCACCCTTCAATATGTAGGTGAAAACTAAGTTTGGAGCGGTATTTTAATCCTTTTAAGAAAACATTTCCCTCTGAACCGTCTATGGTGTTTAACAGCAACACTGTAAAATTAAGTTATAGTTGTACTGAAATTTAAATAATATAGTGAAGAGGAAAAATGCGAGAAATTTGGATATAAACGCACAAAAACACTGAAAGTAATATGTTATATCACTGTAGGAAAAAATAATTACCCTTTGAACGTAGTTTACTGCACAAAGAGCCTGGTTTACCTGGCTGAGGTTAATGATTACATCGGAAGTACAGAGGATTCTTTTAAGAAATTCTCGCACAAGAATGCTACTTTTAAGGTGCAGAAGCTCAGATATAATACGAAGCTGGTGGAACATGGCCGGAAATCGAAAGAACATGTTAATACTCCGAGTATAAAGTGGAGCATTTTGAAGAGAGTGACGTCTAGTAGAACCATTGGCTGCTGCTCTAGGTCGTCAAGAAGAGAAGTTAGTGATAGCTACGTGTCAGGACAATGAGGTGTTGTTGAAGGAGAGAATGGAAACTATATCAAAATGTAGATACGCGGGCAAGAACTTTTTCAGCCTCCACGACCCCGGATGAAAACAAATAAAGTATATTTTTTTCGCAGCCGTAGCAGGATAAAATTGGTGCACGTTGAGGAACACTTGTTACATTGCCATTTGATATATCATCTTCGCGTCAGTTATTTCAAGTGCTAAATTAAGTGTACTGTTTGTTTACGGCCGTTATTGTTGTATGTTTATGTTATGTAGTACGAAAAGGTTTTTCTTCCTTCGTATGAATCCGCATCCCTCGTCGCCAAATTGTTATGGAGTGGTTTCATAGTGGAGGCTTGTATTAAGTCGGTCCTAAAATAGGTTCGACGTGCAAAACGTCAGGAACTTGATATAATAGGTAATGACGCAGCAATCTAGTTGTGGTGGTTGATACTTTGATATCTGACTAACGGTCGTCCGACATCGACTGACTGACCAACTCGATATTTAGTCACCCACCACGAGGACATCAATATGCCCATTGAACCCGTATAAACGGGTTCAGGGTCGGTTTACCTCCCCGAAAGAGAATCCGCCCTTCGGCGTAGCCTCATTCGGGTTCAACTGATCAGCCAGTCAACTGACTGACCAACTCTCTGACGACTGCTACTACTATTCCTACTTATTATAGGTGGGAGAGTCTATTAACTATAGAATAGGTGTGTTCCAGTATAATAGTTTACTTATTTTGTCCTCGTCACGTGGAGTCTTTTTCGTTGAATAGTTTTTGTTTGTGAGCGGTGTCATGAGAACAACAATAACAGGGCGGAATGCCAACATATCGAGCCGATATCTTCTGTAGTAAGGCCTTCGGTTTGGGCCGAAGATAGACCCAAGAAAAAAGGACCAGACCCACAAAAGTTTTAATGAACAGTTCAAAAATGTTATCTCTGGAAACGATCTATTACTGGTATCCTCACTTTTGGTGGCGCTGAACTCTAGAAGCATTTCCCTGTTGACTAGGGACATTAAAACACGGAAATTAATCGGCATCAACAGAGACATCCTGGAGGAAGCTCTACAAGCCTCAGTATTTTGGCCAAGGTATTAGCCAGAAGAAGCAATGCAATGTGACGCACCCTACTACAGACAGAAGACGCTGCCAAATCACTGGCCGGCAATCTCTTCACAACAAAATCCGTGAGGCTTGAATCTGAATGTATGGACACAAGAAAAACAAAGGTGTCTTTACATGAAGTACCCTTGCACATTTCAGAGGACCACCTGGTCTTTTTCTTCGCAAAATCCGGGGCGGTAGCTAATCTCTCGGCTGTTAAATGCAAGGCAGTCATTGACACCGGAGATGTGGAAACTATGATCACAATAAACAGGAAAAAATTTCATGGACGTAACCAACATTCTGTTATGTAATGGCCGTCCTATCTATGTTGTAGTGGAAGGGTTATGACCTCTCAGCTGGTCTTGTGCGACCGCTGGTCACCTTTCAAATCTTTGTCCTGGGAACAGACCGGAAAGACACCCTCAACCAACTACAAGGAAAAAACAGCCCCCAAACTCCAGAT